AATTCTTTAGAAATATATAGGGTTCGGGGGGAAAATTTCGTAGGGTTTTTAAGTGAATTTTAAAGAAAATACTCTGATATTTACGCATATTTTATTCAACCCCATATATGCCATTTTGACCCCACTACATTTCGCCATCTTTATTATTTCACGCTTTGAAAACTCGACATTTTTTTAGTTGATGAACTGGTCTAATTGTTTTATTTTTCTTCAAGAGAAATGAAGCTCTTCCCGTTAAAAGAATTTTGTTGGAATCAAAGTAAGTGATAATGTGTAATGTCAGGTGAGTAGATCGTGGGTAGTAATTTACTAAGCGTAGCTTAGATGTAGCACAAGACCATAAGCAAAAGTAACCAGTGAGGACCGAACTCACTAATCGGTCGTAATTGGTCTAGTGAGACAAGCTTGCTAAACATTACAACAGTCGAAGTGCTCACGGCGTGGGTAGTAAGACATCCTTGCTAAACTGTGCCAATTTCTGCCGATTCTGCAAAGAGACGCGAAGTCTGGTGTTGTTTCGATTGGCCAATTCCGGACGCTTTTCTATGAATAAATAGAGAAATAAATGAATATTAGAAAACAATAAAACGGGAAAAAAATTTGGAAGTGTTTTTCATTTGTGCCTGAAGCGTTTCATTTATTTACTGCAATTTTTTCTGGAAATTGTTATTATTATTTTTTTACGTTGGCATTTTCGTTGCTTCCATTTTTACTTTTCCTCCATGTAACTGATTTTATTTGAATATTTTCTCCTCCTGTCATTATTTTGACTTTATATAGGAAAATATGAACAGTTATTTTTTTCGCTTATGACTGCAACTAACCAAGATGAAGTGTACGACTTTATTCTTTCAGTTAACTTATAATTCGAACATTGTTTTGGTCTGTTGCTTGTAATAATTGATTACTTGCATTATTTACAATTCATCAATAATCTATAAAAATTGATATACCTTTATAAACAATTGGTATATCTTTTTCATTATTTACATTGTTCTTGGTCGGTCATAAGAGAAAAATATTTAAAATTTTCCTTTTTAATATTAATATTTTCATTTTGTCTTTACATATACCCCTTTTAGTCTGATTTATATATATATATATATATATATATATATATATATATATATATAAATATAAAATATATTAAAAAATAAAAAAATAATAAAAATAATAATTTTAAAAAATCTATTTACATTTTCAGTGTGTTTATATATATATATATATATATATATATATATATATATATATATATATATATATATATATATTGTCATCCATAGACAGTCTATTTCGCTGTCTCACACCTTTCAGTGCGGCTAGACATCCGATTATTTCAAGCCGGGATCAAAACCTGACTGAGTTGGCATCAGTCGGAGATTTTCCCCCTAAGCCATCACTGACAGTACTCAATTCAGGGAAGCGGTTTGTAATATTAGTAGTAGTAGTAGTCATTGTTTACAAATTCGCACTAATTTTCCAAGAGTGCGCAACCGAAGTTAAATTTATATATATATATATATATATATATATATATATATATATATATATATATATATATCTGTGTGTGTTCATTAAAAACGACAGACAAGGTACTACGGTTAAGCTTTTTATTTAATTTTTCTTGTGTTCTGACAAGAGCTTTCTTTTCTGGACAAAGGGTGTGAGTTCAAATGCCCCTTAAGGAACTGTGTTCCTGATCAAACCGGTCTCATAAATAATTACATCGGTTACACAACCACATGCTTATCCAGACGCCTTACGTTACACCTATCTGATCACAGCTCCATTAGAACCCATTTAAATACACACACAAATTTACCCGATTCCATTAGAAACATACTAGTAGAAAACACAAATATATTAACTGCATCCACCTGCAAAAAAGACTAAAAATAATGGAAGCTTTAATAATAAAAAAGAAAAAGCCAATTCTTAACAATATTAACTAGGAACAAAGCCACATCGTGCTAACCGTATTCGGAAATTAAAAACATCCCTACAACACATTAAGACATACACATAATGCACACACTCATTTAAGCTGAAAAACCGAATCATCCTTGATAATGGCTAAATGTGTAGCCGAAAGCGCTCGGAAATATAAAACATTTGGACAGTTCTTACACACACTTTGTCCAGAAAAGAAAGCTCTTGTCAGAACACAAGAAAAATTAAATAAAAAGCTTAACCGTAGTACCTTGTCTGTCGTTTTTAATGAAACATGCATAAAGGAAGGATTGCTGCCTAAATATACCTATAATATATATATATATATATATATATATATATATATATATATATATATATATATATATATATTAGGATATTACATCGAAAAACATGTCAAAATCCCTACACAATTGCAGTCGTGTTGTTGCAGTAATTTACAATCAACTGATGAGATGCATTGATACGCATCGAAACACTACAGCAATTGTGTAGCGATTTTGATGTTTTCGATGTAATATTCTAAAATAAATAATATTGCTTGACTTTGAATTGAGTCGTCTTTTAAATGTTACGAACGTTGGAATTGTACTCCATTCTTTCTCATCTAAACTGTATTGATATATATATATATATATATATATATATATACAGTGTAACCCGGATATAAGAGACCCGGATATAAGAGAAACCCGGATATAAGAGAGATTTTCTCTGGTTCCCAATTAGAGCCTGTGTTAATGTATATAAAATAGACCAAACCCGGATATAAGAGAAACCCGGATATAAGAGACTTCTTCTCCGGTCCCGACAACTTTCTTATATCCGGGTTACACTGTATATATAATGAAACGGTTTAAACACTAATATTCCATGGAATATTAGTGTTTAAGCCTTTTTATTATATCCTTACTCTGTCCTGGACATGGAGTTCTACCTGAATTCTATCCTCTTGGAGTTATTTTTTATACAAATATATATGTATGTGTATGTATGCATGTATATATATTTATATATCTTAGATATATGATTGTATATGTATGTGTATATTTACCACTAATATTATCTATCTATCTATCTCTCTCTCTCTCTCTCTCTGTATATATATATATATATATATATACACACGCGCGCGCATACACACATACACACGCACACATATATGTAATCATGTGTCGTATTTTCTTACTTTCGTTTTTCATTAGACTATACAAAGTCTCTCATACGTATGACTAAATTATTTATTCAGTTTCAGACGTCCTGGGTGTGACGATAAACTACATCCGGCAGCAAGGGCTCTGATCGGGAGGTTTTGAGGAGGGTGGGAATACCTCTTAATTGCTGTTGTTTCCAAGCTCACCTTGATCCGGGATGGTAGCATCTGTTAGGGCTCCAGCTAAGGACAAATAGTTAACCCCCCAAATGGGGTCAAAACACTATGAACGTATAATATACATATTTATAGTAAAAATATCAGCAATACATTTACATAGTTAAACTAAATTACCAGAAATACATCGTTGAACAAATGCTCTGCTGATTGGTGGACAGTAAGGCTTTTAGAAATTGCGCTGCCGATAGCGATTTTCCAATAGTAGCTTAGAGGCGACACAAGGCCGAAAGTAGGGTGCACCCAGTGAGGATCGAACTCACTACTCAGTCGTAATTGTTCTAGCGAGACAAGCTTGCTAACCATTACACCGCCTGGAGGTGCCCAGATAGATAGATAGATAGTGATTTTCCAAGCGTAGCTTAGATGTGGCGCAAGGTCGGAAGTAGGGTGCACCCAGTGAGGATCGAACTCACCACTCAGTCGTAATTGTTCTCGCGAGACAAGCTTGCTAGCCATGACACCGCCTCGAGGTGCCCAAATTGCGCTGCCTATAATTCTAAGTAAAGGGCGGTAATCTGACAAGATAGACGCACGTGATTCTTTTTATATCAGTTTATAAAATAACTTTTTGAATAGACATTAATTATGAAAGATATTCTTCATTCTATCAAAATTTACGTTTGTAACTTATATTGATTGCTAATGAAACTTTGTTAGTGTTTTGATGAGCGATTTGGATTGACCTCAAGCGTGGAGAAAACAAAATATATTATTGATGAATTTAGGGTTATTGAAGTTATTGGTGTCGCATTTCCTACTGATGTTGTTTTTATTGAGGTAAAGGATAGACTGAAATTAGTCGTCGTATAACGAATAACTCATATTTTTTCCAACACGTATCTGGCTTTCATTTTGTCCGTATATCTAATAAACAGCGCTAGTAAAATTTGTCTCTTATGTGAAAGGACAGCTAAAACATACGCCTGAGGTTGGCAAGCGATATCAAATAATGTTATTAATGGCATGGCACCATTTTTATACTGGCAACAGCACTACACAAGAAAAATAATTCTATTATAACCAGAATATTTAGCGTTGTTTTGCAAGGGGTTTCTGGTGTTTGAAAAAAATACAGACATTAAAAAGTTTATATGAATTGACAAACTAACGGAACTGTCAAACAATTTTCAGTCAAACTAAAGGAGCAAAATACGCAAAAATGAAATTTTCACTGAACGAATATACTTTTACATTTATCAATTTTTATAGGGAATTTTATTAATTTTATTGAAGAATCGATAATCTGTATAAAATAAATAGAATAAATTGTACATGATCCTTAATTCAAAAAAGAGTAATTGAAAAAGTTCAATTTTTTATTAAACAGATTTTGTTGCAGAGTTAAAAGCGGGGTGCTTTAGATTAAATTGTGTACGCTGAGTTCAAACTATTCTGACCAGTATTTTTGCATTTTGAAAGAAGAATACAAACCTATGGATTTAGCTCGTAAGTCGGTTCTAAAACTGTTTCCAAAATGACTCCGAGAATCCTTTTCGTATTCCTTCTCGTCCGATAATTTACTAATAAGCACCCCCACCAACCCGATAAACTTCCTAATTCTCCGATGAAGGAAGTCATTTGATTTTTTTTATACCTTATTTACATTTTGTGGATTATTTAATGACGAAATATATTTTTGGGTTCCAGGAGGCCGCTTACATTACTCGGCGTTCTCAAGTGGTCCTCCATCTAAGTTACTGACCGGTCTCAACACTGTTTAACTACGATGATCAAATGAGAACAGGGGTTTTCGTTCTGATTTGACCGTAAGTGTTATAGAGGAGAAATACCTAAGTAAATGAAGAACATTTGTATGATTTTGTAAGAGATCTATCATTGTTGAAAAAGGAAGCAAAAGTTTTAGAATTCAAAGACAACAATGGAATTTCCGATATAAAATTTTCCTTTTCCACCATTAAGAGTTAGTTGTCTTTTTTTCCTTCTTTAGTGACGTTAATGCAATCAGGCATGAACGAGAATATAAGGACCTAGTTAACGACCGGAGATTGTTTATAGGCTTGATTTAAGTTAGTCTCAATGGTAACACAATGGCGATTAAATAGTTGACATTTTCAGAGCATATAACGAAGAAAGAGAGCCTGGAGGTGAGAGGGGGGTGAGTAAGCTTAGAAGTTAGCTAAATAGCAAATTAAGAAGTGGGAAGGACTGTAAAAAAGCAAACATTGCTAAGAGCTAGAAAAGTCAAGTAGTCGTGGAGAGCCATGATCGCCCAGGTCATGAAGAGTCACGGCACGCAAAAGAAAAACAAAACAACCTTTCATACCTGTTACTCATATTGTCGTTATTAACGATATGTATCGATGAATGGAATTCATTCTGAAAGAGTTAATTGTTCAGCTCACAAATGAAATATTAAAGCTGATTTCTCTCATCCTAGAAGTACGGCTGGCTTATACCAACAATATGTGCTTTTTTGTATCTGTTGGGTAGACGAGATGAAAGTAAACATTACCTTGTAAAAGACTGACCTGAAAAAATGATCACATCGGATGTCGGTAGTGTCTGGTAGACCCGCAAAAGATCTTCGCTTTTCGCCTTAATATCAAACCGGGCTTCATGAAAGACGCCTTAGAAGCAATAGCAAGTAATGGACGTGCATTCTAGCAACTAGATGTAAATTTGGGCGTAGATACAAGTAATGCGAAACTGAAAGTAGCCGTTTCAACAGAATCAGAGTTTAAGAAATTGATGTTTAATAGCAAGTCTAGAAGTGAACTGAATTCACTTGGTCTAGTGATATGCAATTTACTTGTTTTGACTGTATAGAACGTTCTAGGTTCTCAAAGAGCTGAAAATTATTCTGATAAATAAACAATTTCGAAAAAGGAATTCTAGTTATTGCCTAAGATGAACTTTTAGGCATTCGTATCTCGTCCTTCTCCAACGGATTTGGAAGCCTTAACCATTGAGCTCTGACCAGCGATTTACCGGTGGTAAAAAAAAATGACTTAATGCCCAGCCACCTGTTGAACGTTGGGTAAACACTTGCGTTGTGTTTTGCTATTGATTATCTTATTTGGGTAGACAGGGACACAAAGAAAGAATTCTGGCGATAAAGTGAAGGCATAAAATCATACTCCCTGCTAAGTATAATACTTATATTTTTGTAACCATTTTTATATCTACCGTGAAACATTACATACCAATTATTTGCGAATTTTGACTCAGGAGCTCAGGCAGAAGGGTTAAAATTGTTTAGGAACGCAAGGCTCAAAGGGTTAAGACATGAATGCGCTGAGAGTTTCAACTGAGGCATAAGATAGCATCGAAATATCAAGACGAGTTCAACACAAACATGATAGGTGGATACTGCTGATCTCTACAACAGTAAACCAGCTTGACACACAAGCGACTATGCAAGCGTTTCCAAAATTACAATTGACGAATATATTATTTGCCTTGAACTGGTACATACTATATATTTACTTTGAACTTGAATACACTATGCCCATGTCTAAAAATTAAACATGCAAGAAAAATTCTGATTCTTTATTTTTATGTACCGTGTCCTACAGGACGTAGGCGACCATGGCACCCCACTTCCTCCTATCCCTTGTATCTTTCAATTAGTTTTGCCTCTTTGTTACTTCCCCTAGGCCCTATTCTGTCATCCACTTGCTTAAGTCCGCTAGGTAATGACATGCGTTGCTTTTCCTTGTCTCTCTTTCCCTCTATTCTCCAAGCCTTACTTTGTTATTAAATGTCCCAGAAATTTCAGCTGCCTCTTCCTGATGTTAAGTATAAGCTTCCTCCTCGTTTGCATTCTCCCCAGAACCTCATCGTTGCTCACACGTTCGGTTCATGTTATCCTTAGCATCCTTCTGTAGAACCATACCTCCACTACCTCTTCTTCATCTTTGTGGAGACCGTCCAACATTCGCTGCCGTAAAGAAGGACAGATGTCACGTAGCAGCTCAGTACTCTTTTGTTTGTTACCAAAGAAATCCTATATAAAGTATTAATATATATTTACTTTGAACTTGAATATACTATACGCATGTCTAAAAAATTGACATTCTAGAACAATTCTTATTAGACTTTCGAATTAAGCATATTCGATTTAGTTTCGTAACCATATCATTTTTCAGGGCAAATAAAAAATCATTATCTGGAATATATTTACTATTTTTTTTTTTTACTGAGAGAGTAAGTATGAGAGTGTTTTAGGGAATCCTCTCATACTTGACCCAACGGAGATAAGAATTTTACAAAGGTGATTTCACGTATTTTGTTTGCAGCACTTATGTCCAATGTTATTTCTCTGAATAAAAAGCTAACAGATTTTTACTCGCTTTAAACGTATCATTATTGATCCGCTATTAAATTTTCGATTTTATTCGATTTCATGCTTCACAATTTTCAATAAACATTTTATGGTTTTAATTATCAAACATTTTGACGATAAAAAATGTTCAACTTTGTAAAATTAAATGGAAAATATTTTCTATAGAAAAAAAAAATTGAAAATATTTTCAATCGTGATGAAGATTTAATATTTTTCGAAGATCGAATTTAAAAATTCAAGCTTGAAAGTTTGAAGCTTATATTTTTTAGATGCCTTTGAATACGCAGGTTAAAGTTTTCTAAAGTATCCAATTAGTATCTGTATATATCTCTTTGATTACTTGTATTATTTACATTATTCAGACTGTTATCCTCACCTTCATTGCCATATTCACAACGTTTCGGCGTCTATATCTCTGAGATGAGGTATTATGATTACTTGCATTATTTATATTATTTGAACTGTTATCCTCATTTTTATTGCTGCATTCATAGTGGATAAAGACGTTATACAGACGTTAGTTAGATCTAATTAAACCCAAAGAGTTGTGAGTTCAATACCAGGCCACTGCAGTAGTGAACCGAAACTTGGAGAATTGAGTTAAAGGGAAATAACTGAGACATCCAGGAGAGGCATGGCACGTGGAAGTAGAACAATCTACCTCGGTGGGCGAAATAAAGGGTTCGATTCGAAATTCCAATCATCGGAATAAGGCCGGAGCTTACACCTGCCGAGGCGTTGTGAATATGGCAATGAAGATGAGGATAATAGTCCGACTAATGTAAATAGTGCAATTATCCAATCAGTATAATTCCATGACATAGCGGAATATATTTTACAGCTTGCCCCAGAAGAAATTGAACGCAGTTTTAGTGTTGCAATACTAATATTTAATATGTAGTCATTTGTTTTACTATTATTTACCTAATACAAGACTGAAGGTGACACTAAGGAACGTAGGTTGTCCGAATATTTGCGACGAAAATCGATATCGTGTAGCAGATGGCCAGTAACGTTTCGTCTATGGGAATGGGGTTTGTAAGCTGGAAAATAATTCATCACCCACAAGGCCACGTATGCATATTTGAACCCTGTCAAATATGGAAGATGAATATTGGGCACTGCCAGCTCATAATGATTTTTCAAGGCCCGAAAGTATGGGGCACCCAATGAGGATCGAACTCACTACTCATTCTTAATTGTTCTAGCGAGACAAGCTTGTTAACCATTACACCGTCTCACTACCAGCTCATGTTAGAAATAGTCCATTTTTTGGCATGATCTGACTTGTAAAGTTAAAACATAGCGGAAGGATTCGGAGACTTTCTGGAGGGGTAGATTGAGGTGACCATTTTTCCAGCATCTCTTACGAGTACCATTTCAAGTAATCTTGAGTCTCAATAGATTTTTAAGGTATTGAGCCTTATTGAGAGTATCTACCATACATCATCACTGCAGAAAATTCCTGGTCTGCTTGGTAATGACAGGAGTTTAGTTATGACATACAAAATATCTGAGTCTGGAAAACAGACATAAAAAAAATAAGCACGTTCATCCCAGGCAAGGGAGTAAGGCCACGGAGACACAGGAGTTTACTGGTTGTGGAAGAATTAGAAAACAGTAACATCTCGTTATAAACAAAAAAATAAAAACGCCATTAAAATTTTTTATCGTAACGAAATGCAACCCACTTTCTACTTTACATAAATAATCCGCCTAAGAGTATACACCAATCATTTCTGAATATCTATGCTGATGATACCACGGCATATGGATGCACATCCAAGACTCTAGATGACCAGAGATTGGCAGCTGATCTCATCTTTGACCTAACTTTAATATCTAAGTAGAAGAAAAGCTGGCTAGTTATATTCTGTGCCTCGAAAACCAAACTTTTCCATCATCATCGCCGACCCTGACCCTGAACAACACGATGAACGGATGTTCCCTCGGGAAGGCCCTGTGCCTTGAGTGCCTATTGGGACTTAAATGCAACCCAGACCTCAAGTGGATCTTATATATACGATGCATCGTTAAAAATACTGAAAAAAAATATATATATATATATATATATATATATATATATATATATATATATATGTGTGTGTGTGTGTGTGTGTGTGTGTGTGTGTGTGTGTATATATATAAAATAAATCGTTATAAATAAATAGTTATCCCCACTCTACTTATCGTATTGAGAACTCTACGTTTTAGTTTTACTACTCGCTTGGGTTTTTTCTTTTGACTAAAGACTTAAGGCACTGGAGGATTTCTTTCGCTTTTATCTTATGTTTTTAGTTCTTTCTTTTTTTTCCCAATTTTTTCTCGGGTACTGATTTGTTTTGACCTATCTACAAGTTGTGCTATCCGAGGTTTTTATCCAAACGAATATTACTATTAATATATATATATATATATATATATATATATATTATGTCATTAAAGTTTAGATGTTAGGATTAAA